TTGTACTGTAGCTTACCTGTAGTCTTTGCTGCAGATACTGCAATGCATCGAGTGATGCCTGCCCGGTATTTATATCTCTTGTTTTAATCAAATATTTTAATAAACCTTTATGATTAATTTGATACATGTATTGATAGACAAAGGATGTATAACTTTCTGGTATCATATATCTTCCTACATATAGTGTTTTGACAGATGTTTCTGAATGTTCTTGAATACTGTTAAACTTAATGTATTAACGTAAAATGTCAACACGATACTCAATGATGGACTTCAATTAGTATCCACGTGGTGCTTCTGTGTGAAATGAATACGTGTTTGTAACTACGTGGTCGTCAAGCAATCTCTGATATGGCTTCAATAACAGAAATTAATAATATTCAGAATATGATGGATATTGATCAAAGCTTCATCAAATCTTAATACAATATTAAACATACGTTATACATAGACATTTACAACTAGCAAACACACATAGCTTGAAACGTCATATAAAGCAACCCTGATCAAGAAAGCCCTCTAATCCACGTTGTATTGCTGATATGGGTGGAATCTGAATCCAATTCCAATACGAAAGATCAGAATGATATCAGCTATAACCTTCACAAAAGTCGGTCAGAACCTTTCGATGAATGTGATAGGCTCTGATAGTGTGACTCGATATTTCATTAAAACATTTAATCATGTTCATAACGCCGCTTTTAACAGTATTCCAGTCATATCACGGCGTGTCAGCTTAATGTGGGAGGAAAGCCCGAAGTGGTGCAGGTCTCTGACGTTTACCACTTCGGTAAAACCCACGAGCGCGGGTATGGTGCTGACAAACCTAGAAACAAAATCGGGGCGAACCGGGATTCGAACCCACAATCATAGGTTTCTGGCGTGCCTAAGGGACGCAACTCTGCACAGCGATTCGCGGTGCCTTAGACGACTGGGCCACCCGTGCAACCTTCTTAACATTAGGTGCTATTACCATGTCCTATAGGATTACCTATTTACTGAACTGAGGCATAGCGTATGACTGCGTCAATTTTGGCCTTAACACGATTCCGACTTTTTCATAAGAATGTGTTTAGGAATAACTGTCAACAATTGATGTTAACTGGGTGTTCGCAAAAACGTGAAGGTATCCTGCATCACAAGTTGCACCGTTCAAACTGCAATTGATGGAAAGCACATCATCATAAATGCTTCACACAATTCAGGATCCTTATATTTCAATTATAAATCAACCTTTTCCTTCGTTTTGGTGGTAGTGATAGATGATAACTACGATTTCATTACCATTGGTGTTGGATCACATGACACCAACAGTGATGCTGGCATATTTCGTGCATAAAAAATTGGGAAAGCTCTAAAGAACGGGGATCTGCAATTGGCCCATGACTGAGTTCCTATTGGTGTTGTTGAGACTGATCTCAACCCATGTTTATTTGTAGGTTTCCTTTTTGGGGGAAGTTAGTTATATAATTAGGCCTAATGGGGGCTGAGGGCTGCGATCTTCAAACTCCAACTCTGCCGTGCCCGTAGAGAGCACATTTGGTATATATATATTTTAGCAGCAAAATGGCGAATTTTTCAAACCAAAAATGGCGGTACTTCAGGTTCCAACAAAACTAGACATGAGTGGCAGCAAAGGGAGAGAGAAATATTTTACAACGAGAGAAGTACCCTGGCAGCAAGGTAAGTTAACAAGGATCACTGAGTAGAGGAGACCAATTAAAATATGTCGTAACATTTCATGGGATCGGACCCTTGGTCATTGACGTCTCGCCCATCTTCTGATTTTACTTGCGAGTCCAATTCAGACACTGAAGGTTCCTGTTCGTCAATGTCATCTGGCATAGTCGTGTCATTTCTGAAACGAGTATAAATCCGTAAATTCATATCGTGCAATGGCATATGTCATTACTTTGATCAAGATTTCGAACGTTCTTCTGGAAATATATACGTGCGACACAAATGTATAAACATATCAATAAACATACCTTTCTAACATAATGATTACTTATTCAGTATATCCGAAATGGGAGTCAAGGAATCCCAAGTATCTATACCATGTCCATTTAGGTTCTTTTATGTCACTTGCACCAGATTCACTTTTCATGATATCCAGAAATTCTCTCCACTTTCGTCTTTATGTAGCTTCTCCATCTCGTTTTCAAAACTGTTAAATTAATTCTTTAAAAGAAATCCTTTGTATTCCGATTTACATGAAAACTATTTTTGCCTATTTACTAACACTTCTGTTCATTTTTGTAATGCTATTCTTCTCTAGTTAATATATAAATCAAATAGTTAAAATATAAATAATAAAGTTTAAAATCTGAAATGTGTTTTACATAATTTAATTAAAACTTGAATCTTGCTTATTTGAACACCAACCAAAACCTCTCAAAAAGACATATCCTATCAGCTGATCATCGAGAGTGGTGTCCCATTGTTTGGACAGGGGTTTGTTTTGCATACGTAGACTTATGCTTGTTACATCTTCAATAAAGGTATTTGAAGAAGACTTTTGTCACAATTTTGTACATACTCAACCATGTAAATTCCCATGTGCATACACGCAAGCAAATAATAATGAAGTAAATGCTTACTTTCGACAGACAGTACATACAGGACACGGGAAATTAATGTCAAAATATTACGATAAGAGCCTAATCTCGATAATTGGGACTTGTTTAGTCGTAGAGAGCAGGACTACTTTCAACCAACTGCAAGAAAGCTTCCATGTTGACAGCTGGTTCATCACCCTCACAATTGTTAGTGGCCATTTTAAAAGTATGGCCTCTTTCACGTGCAAGGAGTATCCACGTCAAATGAGTGTAATCATATGTCTTAAGAAAAAAATATATATTATATTTAGATTCCACTGCTGCGATATATGATGCGACGCGGTTTATAAGTCCGCGTTTGATAGAAACGCAACGCAGAACAAATCACAAACCAGCACAAAAACATTGCTATCACTTTGACGTTGACAGTGAGTTTAACATAACATGACACCCCCTGTTGCTTCAAATCGCAAACGCAAACGCAGGCAAAAACGGTTGATAAGTTTTCTTCTTGTGAGGTATACCTTACAAAAACATTCAGTGTACTGTTCAGTTGGACAGCAAGTTGTGTTTTCGTGGGCATTGTTCTTGAAATTGCAACTTGCCAAGTTGTATGTAATATTTCTTGAGACAGCACATAAATATTTTTGTGCTCTGCCTAGTTCAATTTCTTGTGTTGCTGCTTCGTCCACGAATCTAGTATCTGTCTAGACCACATTTGTTCTCGGATTATATATATATTTAAGTTTAAGTTTTCATTACACCCGAAGAGCCGTTGAACGGCGAAAAATCTTGTGTGGATAAAGTATTGACAAGCACAAATATCAGGACTCTGGTTTTTCGTATGTTTAATACTTATCACCAGGTGAAATCACCTGTCTGATATAGAAGAATATAGGAATATGATGTGAAAATATTGTTTCTTTAAGATACATACTTGAGATTCTTTGATGTCTGGTGTCCGTTGGTAGGATTTGTCGATTTGTAACACTCTTATTTCATTGGGATTTGTATCGGCGAGAAAAGGTTTGTCACACGTTAACTACCTATCTGCGCCTTAAAAATATGTTGAAAAGTTCCTCTTAGTCGGTTTCATCCTGATTCTGCTTTAGTAAGATGAACGTTTTGTATTTTGTCTCTAGTCATTACACATAATCCTTTGAAATATCTTAAAACAAATAAAACATTTGAAAGGATGTATTTGCATGCAATACCACCATACTTATGCATGCTTCGTGAAGGTGTGAGGAAAGGTTCATAGCAACTTTACAATGAAGAGGTATGTATTTTGTATTTTGTCTCTAGTCATTACACATAACCCTGTCGACGTGTCTTAAAACAAATATAAGATTTGAGTGGATTATTTGCATGCAATACCACAATACTTATGCATGCTTCGAGAAGATGTGACGAAAGATTTATAGCAACTTTACAATGAAGCTGTATGTATTTTGTCTCTAGTCATTACACAGACCCTTAATGCTTTGTTTCCTCATGGTAGTGTCACATATACCTCTTTTAAAACAAATGCATTTGAGAGGATATATTTTCAGGAAACGCCATCATACTTATGCATGCTTCGTGTATGTATGACAAAAGGCTGATAGCAACTGCACAACGAGGCGGTGTGTCATTAACTAAAATTATTTTTTTGTAAATGTGACATAGGCTTCATACGTTGGACCTATGTGTAGAATCAAACCCGGGATTTCGTCGCAACGAGTATAACGCTTTCTTCCGCTCCATCTCCCCATCTTCACTGTAGAAAAAAAAGAGGCATGTTTAATCAAAACATAGTTCAGAGGGTACTTACATTGATAAGGTGTATGGAAATGAACAAAAATGCCCACAACAGATTTTTCGAATTTCGATTAATGCTGATTAAAACAGAATTTAAAGTTTAATCAAGGCGTGCTTATATTGTATGGGTCGAAAGCCGGAAGTGATGCAAACGTTTTGAGTACATATGGTGATACACACGAGTACGTGAGTATACTGCGAACCTTGGGTTGGAACCAGCGATGATAAGGACCTGGCTTGCCCAGAGGACAGCGCAATAGACCACACATACTTTAATCTGTATCAGGATCACTCTGGTTACATGGTTTTTTTTCGTCTCGCGTCAGGTTTTATACCAGGAGCCGACATGATTTAATATGACATTGTAAAAATAATTAAATTTATCCGCTAAGTAAAAGATATAATACCAGGATAAATTCATTTATTAGCGGCATGGAATATTGATGGGCCCTGAGAGTTACCCCCCTTTGGTAACGTTGACTATATATACAGATTCAAGTCGCGTTAGTCTCTTCTTGCCGATGTTGTCACAACGGTAAGTGCAGTTAAATTTAACCAACGGCTCGCCAATAAACAGTATGCCAGGAGGCAAGAAGCTACAGAAACGAAAAGCGAAGGAAGACGGCCAAAAGCGTCAACGAGATGAGACAGAGGGGACAGACGACGCAGAACACTGACGGGACAGGGACCACAGGTGGCTACAAGCGATTGAAAATGGCGGCTGACAAGACCAAAAAGGCGCCAAAATCAGGTGAGGCGGTTTCTGTTTCAACTTTTCCATCTATCAACTTTAACAATGAACACGGTGGTCAGTCGAGTAGCCTAACTAGTTCAGAAATTGCTGAAGATATGAACGATTCCCAGAAAAGCACCAACAGTTGATTAAGTATATGCATACCATTAGGTTCGGCAGCACAAAAGTATGATGGGATGGGTTGGAGATCATATGATCAACATTTTAGAATTAGACAGGCACGTGATCCCAGCAATTCATGGGCAAGAATCTATCAAGATTATTGGCTGATGTTCATGAACACCCACTCCAAACAGAGTATGCAGACTAGATCACCCCAGTCCAACATGCAGGACCGTCGCCAATCGTCATGTTTTGATTACAACTACCGGAGCTGTAGCAGACAAAATTGCAAGTATTCCCATTCTTGTATTCGGTGTACCAAACTTCATCCCATGAAATCCTGCAGATTTCGAACAAACCAAAATAAGCCAAAAGTTTCAGCTTCCCAGTAAAGGTTTCTCACCCGTTAAGACTAGTGTATTGAGAAGTTTGCTCGAAAGGTATCCGGATCAGGTAGCGGCAGCATAATTAATAGAAGGCTTTACACAAGGTTTTGTTTTGAACTATAGTGGTCCTCGTAAGGAAACAGAATCTCCTAACCTAAAATCTGCAGAAGGGAACACTGTGGTCACTCATGATAAACTTAATAAAGAAATAAAAGCAGGAGAATGTTAGGTCCATTCCAATATCGACCAATACCTAATCTCTGGATATCACCGATAGGTATTGTACCTAAAAAAGAACCAGGTCAGTTTCGAATAATACACCATTTGTCCTATCCGATAGGCTCATCAGTTAATGATCACATTGAGGATAAGTCAGCATCAGTGAAATTTACTAGTTTTGACAGTGCATTTGAAATGGTTCAAACTTTAGGTAAACGCTGCCAGTTAGCAAAGTCTGACATAAAGAGCGCTTTTAAACTTTGTCCTATTAATCATTCAGACTTTAATCTGTTAGGAATAATATTCAAGCAACAGTATTATGTGGATATGTACCTACCCATGGGATGCAAGGTATATGTAAGTTGTGCTCTCTTTGAAAAGTTTGCACCTTTTCCTCTATGGGCTGTCCAACAATCAATTCAAGCTGGAGATGATTTACATTACCTGGATGACTTTCCTTTTGGAGGTGAGATGAATACAAATGAATGCAGCATAGCACTAGATACTTTTATGAATCTTTGTGAAGAGTTGGGGGTCCATGTAGCACATGACAAAACAGTACAACCTTGTGCAAAGATCACCTTTTTGGGCCTAGAAATTGACACAGAGATGTTGGTCAGGCTTCCTGCAGATAAAAGTGCCAAGTGTCTGGATCTACTCTCGGAATTAATGGGAAAACGCAAAGTCACTTTGAAAAGGGTGCAGTCTTTTATTGGAACCTTAAATTTATTTTTTATGCAGAGCTATCCCTATGGGACGTCCTTTCTCTAGAAGAATGATTGACTCCACGAAGTCTGTTCACAAACCACATCACAGGATTCGCATTGCTAAAGAGATCAAATTGGATTTATCAACATGGTTCTTCTTCTTCAGAAACCACAATGGCATATCTGTATTTCATAATACATGGATAATGATCAGATTCAATTGTACACAGATAGTGCAGGTGCAGAAGACGAGGGATTTCGGATATATTTCAACGGAAGATGGGTTTCAGAAAAGTGGCCAAAGGAATGTATTGAAGCTGGTTTCATTTCTGACATCACATTTTTAGAACTATTTCCAATAATCATTGCAGTAAACCTGTGGGGTCATCACCTCCGACACAAGAAGGTTGTTTTCAACTCTGACAATTAAGCGGTTGTGACCATATTGAACAAATTATCTGCAAAGTCACCGCGGGTTATGGTACTCGTTCTCAGCTGTTTGGATGTTAATCTAATGGCGAGAGGCAAATACATTCCAGGTAAGCCCAACACAATAGCAGACTCGTTGTCTCGATCTGAATTTCAGAGGTTTCGTCATTTGGCACCTGGTGCGGACTCAGAGTCAACACAGATACCAACTTCAATCTGGAATCACTGAATACTGAAGCTGAAAGGCTACTAGAGCATTCGATCGCAGAGAATACTAGGAAAGCATATAAATCTGCAGTAAATCAATGTGAAATGTTCAGATCACAAGTAGGTCTTCCAGTCACATGGCCAGCCCCCTTACAGCATTTAGTTAGATACTTGTGTTACCTGTCACTAAAACAGGCGTCTCCAGCTACAGCTGCACAACATTTGTCAGGATTTGGCAGACATCATAAATTACTTGGCTTTCCTGACCCAACTGATGACTTCCTATTGAGAAAAATGCTGAAAGGTATGAGGAACATGTCTTCCATGGATGATAGCAGGGCCCCATTTACCCTTTGTTTGCTTGAGAAACTGATGCACGGTTTGCAGCATGCCCGCTCATCACGCTATGAAGCATGCTTGTTCGAGGACACGTTTTCACTTACATTTTTTGGATCTCTTCGGATAAGTGAGGTCACACCAGCTGGATCAAAACACAAGGTCTGATTACTGTTTGTTAATGTCACAGTCCTAGCTGACGATATTACTCTAAAAATAAGATTTTCTAAAACTGATCAGACTGGTCATGGCTCAACTCTGTAAATAGCCAAACATACCACTTCGTCGTGTGCTGTTTACAATTTGAGGTCATACTTGTCAACTCCACGAAAGTCCTCAGCTCCTCAACGTTTCTTCACTACAGTACTAGCCCAGTGACTCAGTTTCAATTCAGGGCTGTACTTGCTAAGGCTCTTAGATTTATTGGCTGCAGTACATCATCATACAAATCACACTCATTTCGCACTGGTGCAGCCACAACAGCTGCGATTCAAGGCATCCCAGAGCAAACAATCAAGGAGTGGGGCCGGTGGAAGTCAAATGCCTTTAAATCATATATTAAAATCAACTTGCCTAAATTCAGTATATCGTCATCAAGTTCTTTAAATGCTTACAGAAATTTGGATAATTGGCTCATCGATTGTGTACTGGGCTTACAGAAAGGCAGTTGGACGACCGATAGGTTTACATCTGTCTTTGGAAAAACTTAGAGGAGGGATAACTTGGCTTGGGAAAAGGGGGATGAAGTGGCACCAACTAATTCCTTATCTCACCCCCCAAAATACTTGTTATACAGTTGGGGTCCAATGACCCTGTCTATAGAATTGGTAACAGTTATGCTCGGTTACAGAGGCGGATATTCAAGCTATCACTAAGCTTATGCCCCAAACCAAGTTAATGTGGTCAGAGATGCTTCCTAGACTACACTGGCGTGGGGCCAAGAATAATGCTACAATTGAGCATTAGCGCAAAAGGGTCAATCGGTTTGCTGCTGTGTCTGTTTGTAGCCGAGGGGGTACTTTGGTAAAACATGACATAACAAGTCAAATATCTGGCATGTACAGTGACCCAGTGTATGGCAGGACCCACCTCTCTGATTTGGGTAATAACATTTATTTATCTGGTGGCTTGCTAGCAATGGTGCATTTGTTGGGACATTCTTGTATAGACAAGAAGTGGTGGCGGGGAGTCTGGGGGCTAAATGCTTTTTGCTGGTTGTTATTGCACTGAGTTTGCTTCGCTAGAGTAATAGCAGGCTATGTGATACCCTACCTGTTAACTACTCTCAGTATCGCCAGTCAGTGTGACACTCCTACTGGTAATACTTTGATTTGTATGTGCGTACACTGCTTGTGTACTAGGTTTTTGCTGCGGTGCTTAAGGAGGCCCTATCGATGTGAATGTTGATAATCCTCGTAGGTGTGTGCTTCCTTTGCTTTGCTTGGGTTGCCCAGGTACCTTCGGGTAGGCACCCACTATAGGTTTTGGGTCCCTAAGCTCCTAGCTACTGTCCAATTTGAAATAAACTGCGCCCATTTATTTCCACCAAACTGTTGTTTTTGTTTTACTTTCTGATGGTTAGCACAATAATTCAAACACATTCACAATTGATGAAAACAGCTGTTCGATTGGTTAGCTTGCACTATGTCACGTGACTTCAATTGACTCGGAAAAAGCGTTTTCTTTGAAGCGGGGTATAAAGGATTTATTCTGCCTCTCAAAAATCCACGTGCAGCCTGCCTTGCTCGTGGCGGGGTATGAGAGATTTATTCCCCTGCTGAGAAATGTATTCCCCTCCAAGGCGGGATACAAATTATTTTATCAAGATCACGTGGACCAATCAGATCTCATCACTCTGACATGGAGGTATGATAATCTATTTCATGCCATTGGGTATCTTCCCATAAGTAACACCAACCATTTGTCACACACCTGCTTGTTTGAACTGTCTGACCTTGACCTTGCTTCTGCTGCACATGTGTCTTCAGAAGGCATAACAATCTACGGTAGACTTACATCTGACGATCTGGTGCGAGTGAGTGAGTGAGTGGGTTGCGTTTAACGCCGGTTTCTACTGTATTCAATTAATATCACGGCTTAATCTGGCCGGAACGCCCGAAGTGATGCAGGTCTCTGACGTTTACGGGTATAGTGCTGACAAACATAGAAACATAATCGGGCCGAAACTGGATTTGAAGCCACTATCATCGGTTTCTGGCGTGTCCAAGGGACGCAACTCTGCACAGCGAATTGAGGCGCCTTCGACGACTGGGACACCCGTGGCCCCCGATCAGGTGAGAGAACGTACGCTGATACATCATTCGTCACCACTCGCCCCTTTCCGTAACCTGCAAGAAAACTCGCCCCCCTATCGATGAATGTTATGTGCGAAAACACGACAAACCAATCAGAATGTGCGTATGATTTCAAGTTCTTCGTCAAAGAATCCCTATTGATGAATGTTATGTGCGAAAATACGACAAACCAATCAGAATGTGCGTATGATTTCAAGTTCTTCGTCAAAGAATCCCTCAGAAATAATTTTTGATTTTACATATGTCTTGCATAGAAAAATATACCCAAGACACAGTTAAATGTGTTCAATCATACCGTATAATTCCGCATGTCCAGATGTGCTTCAAATTGCATCTGAAATATATATAATATATGGGGAAATATATGTGAACCATTACGCAACGAGTTGACAATTGTTTTAGGTACATGTATGCCCGTTTGCGCTTAGACGGAACCCGGTCGCAAAGATGGCCATGAGAGGGGCACGAGTCGCTATTCGGCTTGTCCCAGAACAACACGAGTTGGTCACAAATGGCTGATACATAGGAAGCAGACCCACTCCGAGCATGGATACCATATATCTGATCCCAACTGATCTTGTGTGGAGAAGGCTTGGATCTTCTTACCGTCTCCATCACTGAAGAGAAGAAAGGGCTGCTTATCTGACGTCACAGTCCACTCGACCGCCTCCGTGGTCTAATGGTAGAGCGTCCGCCCGAAGTGCGGAAGGTCCGGGATTCGATCCCCAGCCGCGTCATACCAAAAGACGTTTAAAGATGGTACTTGTTGTTACCCTGTCTGGCGCTCGGCATTAAGGAGCTAAAACAAGGGCTGGTCGGCTCAGAGTCAGTATACTGTTAAACTGCGGCATATATAGTATCTCAGTGTGCTAGCACTATAAATCGGCATCAGTCCGGACTAGTACAAGCAGTCACACACACACATACACGTGCATGCACGTCGCTATATAAGTGCAATAATCTTGGACGCGACGTTAAACCCCATTTCACCTCACCTCTCACCTCTCTCTTTGTGACCAACTCGTGTTATTCCGGGACAAGCCGAATAGCGACTCGTGGCCCTCTCGTGGCCATTTTTGCGACCGGGTTCCGTTTTAGCGCAAACGGGCATACCTAAAACAATTGTCAACTCGTTGCGTAATGGTTCACACATTTTTCCCATATATTATATATATTTCAGATGCAATTTTAAGCACATCGGGACGTGCGGAATTATACATTATGATTGAACACATTTAACTGTGCCTTTGGTATATTTTTAGATGCAAGACATATGTAAAATCAAAAAATATTTCTGAGGGATTCTTTGACGAAGAACTTGAATTCATACGCGCATTCTGGTTTGTCGTGTTTTCGCACATAACAATCATCGATAGGGGGACGAGTCTTCTTGCAGGTTACGGAAAGGGGCGAGTGGTGACGAATGCTCACCTCTCAGTCCACTCCAAATGAAGTTTTAGTTTACAGTGAAGCTTCCAATATGGATTACTTATCAACAATCTGACTGAAGGTTGTCCAGCATCTCATCTCCCGCAGATTTGCCAAACTAAAAGTAAAAGGAATCAAAGAATAAGTGTTGTTTTAGGGTCAGTGTTATGTATTGGCAAAATTATTGAGCGGTTGGCCATTCAGGAGTTCTGCCAACTGTTATGGGATATCGAGCACATTGGCACGACCGCTAAACATATGAACAGTCCTGTAATTCTTTCAAGAATAAAGTTGGTTGAATGGAGCCAATGGCCTCGTTATATGACAGTGTGTTAATTGGATTACTTCTGACGTTTATTTATTAGTTTAGTTTACTCTGTATTTTTCCAAAATAGATGAGTCATCTAAACTGTCACTTGTGCTCGCCCCAACATTTTATCTCATGTGGACCGGTCCGATATGTAAGTATTCCATTACAACAGGAGGTATTCACCATGTTTTCCTTCAGACAAGAGGCAACATCGGAGTGTGTGACAAACGGCGCACTGTAAAAATGGGAGGCAATACTGCCATACAGGTTACGGAGCGGGCATTGAAAATGAGCAAGTGACCATGGCACGTTGTGAAAGTGAAAAATATTCAGAGATAAAAAAAACATACTGTCCGCGGAATTTTCATTTAAGAATTGACCTTCACTTTGTGTGAGTTCATTGGAGTATGAACCTTCATAGAGTGAGGGCCAAACTGTATGAACGTCGGAGCTTGCTCCAATGAACTCACACAAAGTGAAAGTCAATTCTTATATTTTTTTATCACAGTTTCTTACCTCAAAGGATGTAGGCCAAGATCTAAACACAATTTAATTTAGTACGTGTGACTTCATGTTTACACTGACAGCCATAAAACAACCAGCCATCTCCCGGAGTAAAAGAGAGATGACATGGGCGTATGGATGCACAACTTGCTCTTCAGAAACATCTTACGCAGCACATGTGTTCAATTCATATCCTCATTAGATGAGAAAGGTCTGTAAAGAACTACCTCAGCAAGTCAGTCACAATGACAGCGCGTCGTAATACATTTACATCAAGTACAAGACGTCAAAATGGCGGGAGAGATTTCCGAAGTTGTTAATGAATCTTTGGCGGTTACATGTGTTAGTCATCATTGATCAACTGGCCGATCATTGAAAGGTGAATAAAGATGCGTCAAACAGACACTAAGGTAAATTCATAGATCGCTGGAGATTGTTCTCGTGATCTCGCATTCTCGTGTTTTGGGCATATTTACCTCGTTTTCAAAGGTCGAGATCGCGAGATCGCGAGAGTGTCTCTTACAGTATTCCATACCTTACCGATTGTCATTGTCACCTTCAAAACAAAATGATCTTATGTTTTGAAGCTACAAGTTTGGTAGTGGATACGGACTTAGGATCTTTGGTCAATGTGACAAGATTTTACGTGCGCTTTGGAAGGAAGAGATCGTGATTGTCACATGCATATTTAGTGTGTGGGTGAGTTCAGGTTTTGGTCCACCGTCAACATTATTACAGCCGCTTCGCGGCGGTAGATACGAAGAGAATTTGTGAGATATATATATATTACATTTTACAACTAACAAAATAAATCATTGCTTAATGCTTGCACGTACCAAAAAACGGGCTTGGCAACTTGACATTGGCAATCAGTACAAGTGTGAATAATTTGACAAGCAACCTGCGGGCTCTTTGTTAAAAGACAATTCAATTATACTTTACACCCCTCTTCAGATGAAAAATAACTGGTAACTTTTAAGTGTCTGTCCGCTTATTTGCTCTGCTCCATCAATCAAAAGCAGCATAAAATATTTCGCCTAAATTATTGTTTCAGTGCAATACGAATAACTGGAAAATTATGTTTTATTGCAAAACTGACCTCTCTCTTCCAAAACGGTCAGTTCACCGAAACAGAAAATGGCAAAATAGTGATGACAATTACAGCAAACTAAGGTTATTATGAACTCAAAGGGACCACTAGTTTCAGTTCATTTGACCGTAGTCCGTTATAAGGTGAGGTGAAATGGGATTTAACGATACGTCCAAGTTTATTGCACTTCTATTGCGACGTGCATGCACGTGTGTATGTGTGTGTGTGTGTGTGGCTGGTTGTACTACTCCGGACTGATGCCGATT